GCCCGTGCGGCCTGCGGCGGGATATCCCTGGGCGGCGAGAGCGGTACGGTGCGGGGCGAGGGGCAACGCCAGGCTCCAATCTCTCTTCTTCCCCTCGCCCTTTCTTCCTTGCAGTAGGGGAGGCGCACTCCCCAGGGGGGCGAGGAGAGGCCGGAGTGCAAGGCTAGCGGGCCCGTGGGGGGTAGCGGGCCAGAGAGCTCCCGAGCAGCAGGGAGGCCTCGGATCCGGACCTCCCCTCCCGCTCTCCCTGGGCCCCTGCGGCAGCTTTACCGCCCACGTCCCCGGCCTGCCCTCACCTGCCTTCTCGGGGGTGTGGAGCCGGCCTGGCCAGAGGCGGGCCGTGGTCAAGCGTTCGCGAGGTGCAGCGGCCGGCCACCCTGGCCTGTCTTGGAGATCGTCTGCCGCACTCGGCCTCTCCCGTCGCCCAGCTCGGGTTGGCGATGAGTCTGCTAGGCGTTTCTGAGCTGTGAGAAGCGCGTCCTTGCTTTCACGCCGTCCTGACGATGGCTCCTGTGGCCCAGGGGGTTCCCTGGTTTCTCATTTCACCGGAGACTGCATCTGCCGGTGATTAAGACTGGAAAGATGCACCGAGGCAGACAAGCCCTGTTTCCCTGTCTCAATCGCAAAGGCACGACGGGCGTCAAGTTCATTTCATTCCGTGTTCCTGGGGAGGACAGAAAGGAAGTTCGGGTTGCTTTCCACAGTGGGCTGTAAATGAACTTTACCGTCCCAAGAGATTGGATGGACTAAATTTGTAAAGAGGTTAAAAGGACATGTGATATCCACTTTGGCTTACTTAGAAACGCGGGGAGTTTGGGAGATACTTAAAGCCCTGCTGCTCCTGGGGGTGGGAGTGGGTGAGAGCGAGCTGCCTCGCTGCCAGCTGTCCTTCTGTTGGACATAAGGACACTGCTTCCCTGGGGGTGTCTGATCCTTGTGGTTGGTCTGAGTCTCTGCTCTCTGCTGGGTTTTGCAAGGTTCATTAGTACCTTGTGGAATGCAACTGGAAGGTTTGATTTATTGCAGTTTTTCAAACGGGGGGTCCCGGTTGATGGGTTGGAAATTGGTTTAGTGGATCACAGTTATCATTTAAAAAAAAAAAAAGAAATAGAAAGGGGCCAGCACGTGGCCTGGTGATTAAGGTGTCCATGACTGGCGTGGTTCGAGTCCCAGACCTGGCAGCTTGGGACTTTATTTGTCTTTCTGGTGAGTGCATGTGTCCTATGGTAGAATTTAAAAAAAAATTAATTAAATGAAATATTTAAAAATAACTATTTAACACTTATTTATTTATTTATTTAAATTTGACCAAAGAGGAACAGAGATAGAGAAAGTAAGAAAGCAAACTACTGAGTCTAGGAGTTGAACTGGGGTTGGCCATGTGGGAGTCCAGCGCCCTTAACCACCGTGCCACCTGCTGGCCCTTAAATAAAGTCTTCTAAAAAGATAAAATAGAAAATATCAGAGGGTGTTGTACTTAGTAGGGGTAATAAGTGGTGTTTCTTAACACTTGTCTCAGTATCCACAGGTGTTGAGGTAGTAGTAGTAGTTATATGACGTGTATATTCCTGTGTCAGAAAGTCTGGGGACCAGCAGATGGCCTAAGGGTTATGTTACTAGACACCCACGTAATTGACCACAGTTCAAGTCCTGGACCCAGCAGCTTAAAGCTCATGCTGGGTATGTGTGCATGTGAGCCCAAGATCCCTAGAGGAGAATGGAGGAAAAGGGATTGTGGCGTGACCATTCCCAGGGGGAGGAGGGGTGATTTCTCACTTTCTGTCTCTGTCTCTCCAGTGAATGCACACACTCTATAGCAAAAATCTCTCTTAAAAAAAAAAAAAAAGAAAGAAAAGAAAGGAAAAAGAAAGTCTGAAAGCACTGGTTTCCTGTATCCACCTATTCACCTTCTGGGCTTCCACAGCCTTAGTTTTGCCATAGGGCGGGCGCCACCATGACCCCACAGCCTTAGTTTTCAATGAAATGGTCCATGAACATGCAGTTATCATACCAGGAAAATACAGTGAAGAACAGAGTGAGTTTCTTTATTCAGGAGGTTACTGTCTCGGGAGAAGACGACTTGCTCTTTGCTCACCAGAAGCATGTGCAGCTGGAAAACAAGCATTTGGTTGGGGTAGTGGGTAGGCCAGTTTAATTAGGAAGGGCAGTTTTTCAGCTGTCGCTGAAAGGAAGGTGGGGAGGACCCTGTCTTCGGTGGGCTGCCTGGTGAGAGGAGTCTTTGTAGGCTTGGATTCTGAGAGTTGTTTTGGGTAGGGGCAAGCAGTTTAGATGAAAAGGAATCTGCTGTAGTTTAAAAAATACACATAGAGACCAAATAGACTTTGTAATGGATCTCTGGAAAATGGAAATGGAGGCCACAGTTAGTTTTTGAATCTCTGAAGATCACTAGAAGGTACTCCTTATGTATTATTTTAAAAAAAAAATAATACAGTTAATGGGACCAGCAGGTGGCGTGAAGTTAAGGCACTGAATGCCACATGGCTGACTGGTTTGGGTCCTGGACCCAGTGGCTTGAAAATTATGCTGGGCACATGTATGTGCATGCCCAAAATTCCAAGGGAAGGGGTTGTGGCATGGCCGTTCCCCCTGGGGGGTGATTCTCACTTTTTCTCCCTCTCTGTCTCTCTGGTGAGCACATGTGCCTTTTGTTAAAAATCTAAAAAATAAATGCAGTTATGAATGTGAACATGTGGATTTCTGAGCTATTTCTGCCTTTGCCTAATTAGAGTCACCACTTATAACAAATACTCGAGAAGTATGCGAATCACCCAGTGACGCCTTCCAGATAGAGGAGGGGAAACTCTTTGGAAAGACTGAAATGAGAACTGAATTAAGTGTGTTGTAGAGTCAGTGAGGGAAGGGGGCCAAAATGTTTTACTGTCTCTCCTGAATGTCAGGGCGAAATCCTTTGCAGGGATCCGCTTTCAGGTGGTACTTGTCTTGTGCACTGAATATGGTACCTTAGGCTCCCGTCAGCTCCCAGAATCTTGGACGAAGCAAGAGTTCTTTATATATATATATATTTTTTTTTTTTGAGAGTTTTTTGCTATAGGGCACATGTGTTCGCCAGAAAAAGACACAGACAGAGAGAAAGAAATCACCCCCCAGGGAGGATGGCCGCGTCGCAGTCCCTTCTCCTCCATTCTCCTATCGGGATCTTGGGCACCCAGGCACTCACTTGCACCCAGCGTGAATTTAAGCCTCCGGGTCCAGGACTTGAACCACGGTCAACTACATGGGAGTCCAGCAACATAGCCATTATGCTAACTGCTGGTCCCAGGAAGAGTTCTTTAAAACCTATCTTGTTCCATTCACTATCTTTGGGGTTAGGACACCTGGACCCAACTAAGATAGATTTTTTCCCATCATGTCACTTGGATAGTTCTTATGATGTGGGGGATTGGGAAGGTCTCTAAAATCAGGGTATACCTTAGCCTCCCATTTTAGAGATGGGTGGTTGCTCTGGGTTGTAGCTCACGCTGGTGCGATTCTACACGTATATGAACAACAACCACCAGTGCGCAAGAGAGGGCGGTGATTCAAATCTCAGAAATGCAGTTCTGGGCCAGGTAATATGCTGAGTATTAAGAAATCTGCCAGGTTATTCTTCTGTAGTGAAATACAACTCAAGAGTAGAAACATTCCCCACCAGAAACTTTAAAAAATCATTTACATCATGAGAAAACATTCTTCCATGTCCACGCAGCTGAAAATCACTTCCAGGGTGAGGGATCTTAGACACCCACGGAGCTGCCCTGAGAACCAGGGAATGAGGCTGCTCTTCCTGGGTCCGGGCTGGGACCCGGGAAACAAACTGCTTAGCCTGCAAACCTGCTCTTCACAGAGAGGGAGTCCGTACATCACAACGGTCCTGACAGGAAAGAAGCTAGAAAGCCGGAGCGTTTTCATCTCCATGCCCATTTGCTGTTCAAGGACCCCTGCTTGGCAGAGTCACTGGAACCTGGAGAAGTGATTCCCAGGTTCCAGGCTTAGAAGGGGCGAAGGGGTAGCGAGAGCTTTCCAACAGCAGCACTTCCTTTTTCCCTCCAGCTCGTCCTCACAGCGCCCCTGAGCACCTGCCATCATATAAACCCGGCTCCCTGCCACGGGCCGGGCCGTGTAGGAACTAACAGGAAGGGACCGTGCATAGGATTAAGTAGAACTTGGTTTTGCTTTGTGCAGTTTTTCGAGTTTGTACCAAGGCTACAGACTTTTTTTTTTTTTTTTT